AGAGAAAATGTTGATTTCTAGCCATTATTTTTCCACAGTGAAGGAAACCCTCAACCAAACAAAAAGACAATTTACTGAATGGAAGGAGCTATTTGTAAATGATGTATCTGATAAGAGGTTAATACCCAAAATATATAAAAAACCTTTACAATTTAACACCAAAAAAATTTTCATTTAAAAAACGGAGAGAGTAGGGGTGCCTCAGTGGCTCAGTTGTTAAGCGTCTGCTTTAGGCTCGGGACATGGTCCCGGGGTCCTGGGATCGAGCCCCGTGTCGGGCTCCGTCCTCAGGGGAAAGCCTGCTTCTCCCTCTCCCACTCCCCCTGCTTGTGTTCCCTCTCTCGCTGTGTCTCTCTCTGTCAAATAAATAAAATCTTTTAAAAAAATAAAAAATAGGGCGCCTGGGTGGCTCAGTTGGTTAAGCGACTGCCTTCGGCTCAGGTCATGATCCTGGAGTCCCGGGATCGAGTCCCACCATCGGGCTCCCTGCTCAGCAGGGAGTCTGCTTCTCCCTCTGACCCTCTTCCCTCTCGTGCTTTCTATCTCTCATTCTCTCTCTCTCAAATAAATAAAATCTTTAAAAATAAATAAATAAATAAAAAATAATAAAAAATGGACAGAGTACCTGAATAGCCATTTTCCTTAGGAAGACATACAGATAGCCAACAGACACAAGAAAAGATGTTCAACATCATTAATCAGTGAAGCGCAATTCAAAAGCACAACGAAGTATCACCTCACACATTTCCGAATGGCTAATACCGAAAACATGCCAACAAGTTGTTGGCGAGGATGTGGAGAAAACGGAACCCCTGTGTGCTGTTGGCGGGAACGCAAACTGGAGCAGCTACCGTGGAAAATAGTATGGAGGGTCCTCAAAAATTAAAAATAAGGACACCTGGGTGGCTCAGTTGGTTGGACTTGGGCTCGGGTCATGATCTCCAAGATCAAACTCCAAGTCAGGCTCCCTGCTCAGTGCGGAATCTGCTCGAGATTCTCTCTCCCTCTCCCTCTGCCCCTCCCTCCACACACACGCTCTCTATTTACATAAATAAGTAAAAAAAAATCTTTAAAAAATAAAATTAAAAAAAATTAAAGAGAGAATTATCTTATGATCCAGTAATTCCAGTACTGGGTATTTACCCAAAGAAAACAAAAAAAGTAGTTCGAAAAGATGTATGCACCCCAATGTTTATGGCAGCATTACTTACAACAGCCAAAGTATAGAAGCAAGCCTCCATCGATAGATGAGTGGCTAAAGATGGGTATATGTATATACAATGGAGTATCACTAAGCTACAAGAGGGGAGAGGTCTTGCCATTTGTAACAACATGGATGGATCTCAAGAATATAATGCAAAAAGTGAAGTAAGTCAGAGAAAGACAAATACCATAGGATTTCACTCATTTGTAGAATTTAAGAAACAAAACAAACAAAGAAAAAGAGACAAACAAAAAAACAGAACAGACTCTTAGATACAGAGAACTGGCGGTTGCCAGAGGGAAGGTGTATGGGAGGATGGGTGAAACAGATAAAGGAAACTGGGAATTAAAGAGTACACGCAGGGGCGCCTGGGTGGCGCAGTCGTTAAGCATCTGCCTTCGGCTCAGGTCATGATCCCAGGGTCCTGGGATCGAGCCCTGCATTGGATTCCCTGCTCAGCGTGAAGCCTGCTTCTCCCTCTCCCACTCCCCCTGCTTGTGTTCCCTCTCTCGTTGTGTCTCTGTCAAATAAATAAATAAAAAATCTTAACAAGAAAAAAGAAAAAAGAAAGAATTCACAATAGCAAGGTAGAAAATGCTAGTTTCTAACCATTTGTTTCCAGATGGTCTGCACAGAAAAGTGTCTATTTTTATTTATAAGACTTTAATTTTTTTATATAACATATCTTTTATATATCATATATCATATAAGTATAATAGCAACTATGTTCAACAGGAAAAGCCACTAATAAATTCATGCATTAAGGGTCTATTTATATTTCTGTAGTCAAAGTCAAGAGCTTTTTATATAAGGTCTTATGCCTTGATCTAAAATCCATATAAGAAAGTGTGTGGCTGAGCCTGGTTCCCCAGAATGATGACACCAGGACGTGAAATTCAAACACAGGGCAGTGAAAATCAGTATGATTCACCAAAGATCTGTAGTGATCGGGGGTCACAGTGAGTCTGTTGGTTTATGGTTATTTCAATTGATACTTCAAACAAATTAATGACTTAGCTAGTATCTTTCTGAAATGAGTCATTTCGTAATAAAAATGTGAATGTCCAAAAAATAACTGATTTTTTTGTTATTCTCACAGAATTCCCTGATCTTATTATTTTCAAATTGAAATATCCTGAGATATTCTCAACCCCAGAAATATTCTTCTGGCTTCCTGTCTGCTCTCTCGGATCTAGCAAAACCCGTTTTTGCCACTTGTATAAACGAGGTGCACATTACTGTCCCATGTTTTTCCAAGGGACACTTTGGCTCCTACTGCTTCTGAGTCCTACGTAGAGTCAAATGCTGCTTAAATAACAGCCTTATAACACGCCCCAAGGAGGTCCAGGTCGCTTTACATAAAGCTCTCCCACGTAAGTTAAGAAACTTGAGCTCTAACGTACCTATGAATGAACCAGGAAGATCAGCAGAGGCCTCAGGATCCATCAACTGATTGAGACACAGAGTTTTACACGCTGAGCCGTCTACCTAGACACCAAACACAGGGAACTCTAGTTAAAATGCAAGCTGTGTGGGGCGCCGGGGTGGCTCAGATGGTGAAGCGTCTGCCTTGGGCTCAGGGCCTGGCCCCAGGGCCTGGGATGGAGCCCCGCACCGGGCTCCCTGCTCCGCGGGAGGCCTGCTTCTCCCTCTCCCGCTCTGTACCTCACTTACTGCGCTAGTCTCAAATACTTTGAGGCAAACATTTTTAAAAAGTGAAACTTACCAAAGCCTTTTGGGAAAAACTAAATTCACTCTGACCTTCTTTTTTCTCCAAAAAGATAAACGCTCCCCACCTCTCTCTCGCCTAGTCCGCCTTTAAACGGATGCTTCTACCAGATACGCAGGAGGCCTTTTCGGTGTCTCTTCCAGGTTGTGCCTTGGCCGGGTGCAAAACACCCAAACCGAACCCTGCTTCAAAGGCCGAACCGATCCGTCCTTACCTCAAGCAAAAGGTCGTTCAAATTCAGGTGGCGTCTCAGGAGGCGCACGGCTGATTCCTGCAGCTTGTGTCCCCTTCCGAGAGCCTGCCGTTGCCTCTCGGCCCTTCCCGCTGGGGGCAGAGACAGGTGCACAGAGTTACAGCACCCCTCAAAGTCTCCTGCCAGCCGACTCGGGGGCGTTCCGGACCCGCCGGTCGGACGCCCCGGGGACACGTCCCTTCCACGGGAAATCCCCGCGCGTCCCAGCAAGACGCGCACCAGACGCACCCAACCGAGGGGCCTTTCACACCACGAGGGACCAAGACTCCCCCCCGTGTCCGGGGAAGGGGCGCGTCGGGCTGGGGGAACCGAGACACGGCGAGCCGGGGCGCGCGGGGGAGCCGAGGAACCCAGGCCGCGCCCGGCCCAGCGAGCGGCGCCGCGCCAACGCTCCGAGGCTGGCGCCGATTCTCGTTCCCCGACTCTGTGCTCGGGGGCTAAGCGGTCCCCGCGCGCCCCGGGACGCCCGGGACGAGTCTTCAGCTCCCCGCCTCGGACAACCATCCTCCGGGACTCCCGGCTGGACGGCGGCCAGCCCCGCCCGTGCCGAGGGAACCGGAGCGCCGCGGGGCCGGGGCCCGGGGGACGAAGACCGGGGCTCGGGAGAGGCGGGGGCAGGCGGGAGGTCCTGGGGGGCGGGCCGGCGGAGGCCAGGGCGGGAGGGGGCCTCAGGGCCCGTCACCACCCACCCCCGCGGCTCCCGCGCGCTCTTACCCAGCAGCTCGGTCCACGTCCTCCTACGGCTCCCGGGCCCCGAGTCCGAGGCGGCGTCCTGCGACCGCGATTCCGACATGGCGGGAACGCCACCTCCCCTCTGCGGCTCGCGGCAACCGGCCCGCGCGGCCTCCCCATTGGCTGCGGCCCGCGCGGCCTCCCCATTGGCTGCGGCCCGC